ACGAGACCCTAACCAAGTCGAGGCGTTGCGAATTGAGAAAGTTATGAGGGATTCACTCTTCCGCCGAATGCACTCTCCCGCATCGCCGAAGGCGTTGACCCGAAGGCGTTGACCGAAGGCGTCTACCGCCCAAGGCGCATCTTCCGGCGGTTCTTCCGCCGAAGGCGTACCGCCAAAGTCGCTCTACCGCCGAAGGCCCCCCCCATCAGTAACTTCAGACACTCATAACTCAGTGATCTCTCATCCGTTTCACAAGTTCTTGGGCTCGTTAGAACCAGCGCGTCGAGCTCTTTCCAACGAGACCCTAAGCAATTCAAAGCGTTACGAATTGAGAAAGTTATGAGTGATCTACCGCCGAAGGTGCTCGAAGCGGATCCTGCAGCATGAACCGCCCGTTCCGTCCCAAGCGTCCCACTGTGGCCTAAGCCCAAAACCCCTTGACTGTCCTCGATCCTCTGGTTTCGCGTACCGATTACTATTTACAGCTACTGCCGCGGTACTTACTATTCAAAAATGTTTTAGTTCCGATAAAAAACAAAAAGTGGGTTACCACACCTATGCAGTCCGAGCCGCCGCAACACTGCGGTCACCTCTGCCTCGAGGTTCGCAATGGCGTCCCGCGACCTCGAAAGGAATGACTCCAACCGCTTCGCCACGCGCCGCTGACTCCGACTGTCACCAGACATCGAGCCGCCGCACGTATCTCCATTTCGCGCAATGTCATTCTCTCCCGCGCCGCAATCTCCCAGCGAGCATAACCTCTTAAACACCGGTCAACCCGCGACACTAACTCCTCCCGCGTGCGATCTGTTGCGAGCCGGTTGTGGCCTTCAACCTTTGCCAACTGCAACTCCGCTTCCGCACGCTGCGCCCTCAATTGAGAACCGCGATCGTTGCTTGTGCCGAAGGCACTAGCGACGAAGGCGCTCGCAGCGAAGGCACAAGCTTCCGCCGTTTTCTTTCTGTTTTCTTCTTCCGCTGAAGGCGAGTTCTTCCGCTGAAGGCGCATCCTTGCACCGAAGGAGTGTCCTAGAGGCGAAGGCACTGCCTTTGCCGAAGACGAACCCTAATGACAAAGACGGCGCTAGCGACGAAGGCGCTAATGCCGAAGGCACTGGGCTGAAGGAAATTTACCGCCGAAGGCGTAGTCTAGTGACGAGGTCGTTTCCATTGACGAAGGACTTCTGTAATACATGCTTCGTACGTCTTCAGCGAAAGCTCCTCCGCCAAGGAGCCTGAGCCGAAGGCGCTTCCTTCTACTTGCGCCGAAGGCGCTTCAGCCGTAGGCTCCTCAGCAAATGAGCTATTGCTGAAGGCGCCGAAGGCGAGTCCTTCAGCATGAACCGTCTTTTCCGTCCAAGGCGTCCGACCGCCCTCGATTCCCTTAGACCCCGACGATCTCTTTTTTCTCTTTTTTCGCGTACCAATTACTATTTACAGCTGCTACCGCGGTACTTACCTTTCGAAAAAGTTTTAATTCTGACAATAAACAAAAACTGGGTTACCACAATTCATCATATTATCAATTTTTTATGAATGAAATATATCATAGATATGAAACTTTTTCTACTTTTTTATATAATAATCATATATATATTTATATATTTATAATTAAAAGACGAATCCATAAAATTTTAATTTTTGAAATTTAAATTCATCTTTGGAGCCTTCTTTAATTAATTAGATTTTAAATATATAATTTTATAATTTTCCATTGTGTATAATAATTATATCAACATCATTTTATTTTGAAATTTCTGCGTCAATTTAGAATGACATGTAAATAATCTTTGCGTTTGTTAATTACAGCTTAAATGTGTCTATTGAAAAAAAATTTTCATAAATTTGTATTATCTTTGAAACTCTTGTAAGTTAATGAAAATAAAATAAAATTTATCGATCTGAAAATATAGTTATATAATAGTGAGTTAGTTTTAATAATCAGTTAAGTATTCTATCGGTAGAGAGTTCGTGTCTTAATTGGTAGCAATACATAATCAATCTATATGCTTGATATGATCATTAGTATGATGGGATGAGATCTTTACTCATTGTATATAAGGTATAAAGCGAACCATCCTGATTGTTTTGTCTTGGAGTTGAGGTTCATTCTTAATCACATTCTTAGTGACAATTCTCAAGTGAACTTCTAGTTTTATTCCCAGTGTTAAATATGGTCAATATAACGAGAATGACACTTCACACTTTGTATCACTGTCAGCTTTACAATCTAGAAACGTTCAAACTTCTTATTGTAGATTGATTTCCAAGATGTGTTGAATAAATTGTTATACTCCAATCTCCACTTCTCATTCTTCATTTGGTTCTTTAATGTGACCAATACTCTACAATGAAACTCATGTTCAAAATTTGAACAATAAATCGCAAATAAAACCTTGTGGATTATTGATAACTATCTTTCTTAATTCTAGAAGAAAATTTCTTATTAAGCTCAGATGCTTACATTTCTCGTACGCAATTTTCAATCTTTAATCATAACATTTGAAAATATGAAAAACCTTGTATATAATTTTTGGTATAATTCTATGACCGTTTCTTCATTCAATGCAAATTTTCACAAGAATATTGAACATTATCAAAACGTGATTTTGAAGACTACATGTTAGAAAACTTGTTTGTATAAAAAATTTGAACTATTGTATTAAGATTGTGACAATCAGGCCAACTTTGCAATTCTAACTGTAAACATTCTTACTCATCATCATTTTGATTTCATTGATTTTCATAATTTATTTGGAAAGAATTATGACTGAAATAACAAAATTATTTAATTATGCATTCAACTTCAAATAATCGTAAAAAAACATAAAATAATCTAATATTTAATGTAGAACATTCGGTAAGGTTGTTTCAGTATATCATAGTTTGTAATGGATTTTTTTTAATAATTTTGGAAGCATACAAAGCTTTTGAATAAATAAAAGTTACATTGATTTGAAAAAATGTTGTAAGCTCTCTTGTGAAACTCAAGACTACCAATTTTTTGTGTTCTATTTGTAATATGACTAAAGTTTAGCTAGATAATCAGTTAGACATCAGCTTGAAGAGAGTATTATCTAATCAATTAGTATGTAGTTCTTTGGTCTCCCTTTTGAAAATTCATGGTTTGAATTTTGTTCACTTCTGAGTTATATGATCTTGAAAAACAAACACATGCATAATTTATGTCATTAGATGAAAGTCCATGGTGATCCAGATTTGAGCATGTACTTAATGAGCTTACATATCACGAATAAATTGTTGTCCTTCTGAATGCCCTTTGGTCCTATAAAATCAAAATATGTCACACTTTTCTCATGTCTGAAGATGAACAACGTTTTCAGCGCACAAAGGCAAGGTTCTGGGATGTAAGAACTCTTGATTGTGAACTTGCGTGGGTGCATTCTACAACTACTGAGAGTTTCGAGCGTTTTTTGTGAGGGACATCGTCATTGGGGTGAGTGACAAGTTTTCGAGTGCTTGATTTGCTCGAGACTGGTGTGGAAATCATGTGTCGATTTTCATCTCGTAACGATACACAGTCCTTGCCTTCACAGGAGCTTCAATCTAATCTTCATGTTCTTCTCAGGTGACGAATAAGAGCGTCACTGAATACATGATGATGAAGAAGAAGGCGGCGAAGACCATACTTAGTGTAAATGGACGATATAAAACCAACACCTGACCTCCACACCTTCCTCAATTTATTTTTCTAAGAACTCTGTTACCTTTGTTACCGTAACATCTATGTACACTTTTCCTATAAACGCGTGTTACTCGAAACTTGAGCACTGAAGACTTTTCACTTAGTTAACACACGGTGTTTAGATCAGGTGTGAAGCGGTTCTACCTCTAAAAATGTTCATCCAAATGACCAAACTGACGATGAGGAGCTGAGAGTTTCTCTACTCTTTTCCTCAAGAGTAGAAGAAGTCCAACTCTTTCCAAATATTTCACTATCAATTCTTCAACTGTTTATCCAATTTCACGATTTTGATCCCACATCGAGCGCATGTGATTCTGGAAGTTCAGCTTCGACATTGACTGATACTGAAATTTGCGAGCGAGTTCAACGCTCCAGAGTCTTCAAGTTTTGAATCACTCTGCTACATGACTCGGAACCTTGCAGAACACTACAACTGACCAATGGACGGTCTCATGGTGGAAGGAGACGGGCTACAGAGAACGGCCAGCTACTGAAACAGACGTCTATTCTCGACCCCTCGACATGTTCGACATTATATGGAATCAACGCTTGTACTTTGGTCATGAGATGCGGGTCATTCAAAAGGTCAACCCGTGGGATGAAGACCTCTCAGAAATCTTTATCAGATCGTTGTCTTGATGATCAACTCGGAAGTGCCTCGCCAGATGGTCAAGAGACTCAAGCGTGCATGCGTTTTGACTCAGATTAGAGGTCGTGTTGATGTGAATAATTCCCCAACACTTCATAGAGGAAATCTCGATGGCCGCATGTTTCCTAACTAGGCTGGATTCTATTGAATATTTTATTGCTACCTGCACAGTTAGTCAGACTCTACCCAGAAAGTCACAGATGAAATGTAGGACACGGCAGGTAAACCATGACCCGTATAACCTTCTAAACTACATCATTATGTACTTTGAAAGGTTACTGTGTCTACAATTCGAAAACCCCACATGTCCAAAACTTATTATAATATATTGAATTTAATGGTGAAAAAAATCTAACGACTTGTATGACAACCGGACAAGCCAGAAGATCACGAAATGTAGAGACACGCGCGAGCTCAAACTTTCATCGGAGAGCTTGACTGTGAGTAGGCATATTCACATCTCGTCCCTGAAGCGTGAAAAGTTTTTTATGATCAAGGTCAGAATGATCAGACCAGTTCGCCTTCAAAGTGTGTTATCGATCATTATCTTGAGGGCTCTTGTCAAGCATGTGGTAGCAAAGTTCACACTGGGAGCGAGCGGGACGTCTTTCCAGTGCACAGACCGGGGAAATTTATGGTGTTTAGGAAACGCAAGTGCGAGTCCCGCAGGTCTGATGCTCACTCCAGTCTATAGGCCCAACATGACTCATGTATATTACTCTCCCTCAGCCGGGGTGGCACTTTCTAGAATTCAAATCCCACTGCAAAAGAGTGAGAGCGATCCGACCCGAACGTCGATCTCCTTTAGCACTTCTTTCCGCTTCACCATCGAACCTTCTGATCCAAATTATCGGGGCGACGGGATGGCATTTGTGATGCTCAGTGAGGGTCTTCAAGGCAGTTATGGAGGTGCTTTCGGTGTCTTCGATGGACACGGACATCGGATCGCCAGGACACTGGCAATCGAGTTTGACACGTTTGAAAATTCGGCTTTCGGGGACAAAAACAACAATCATGTGGGAGTGGACATACAAGATATCAATTCAACAATAGCAAGAAGCGCCTGGGAGGTCAGTATAGATCTTGCCGGAAGTTATAGCATATACTCGTGGATAGATTACAACTCATCGGCTCAAAAGCTAGAGGTGAGAATCAGCAGTGACTACGCTAAGCCGTCTCTACCTTTTATCGTCTTCGCACTAAATCTGTTCGACGTCTTCCATCCAGACGAGCTAGTGTACGTCGGGTTTTCAGCAGCCAACGGAGTCTGTGTATGTTTCAATTTCTACACAGTACATGACTGGACTTTTTCATATGTTTCTGAACCTGACGCTATAATTCAAGTATCGCCTCCCATTCTTCCAGCCCCAACTCCGGAACCAGGAGGCGAGTTCAAAGTACTGGTTGCTTTGATCGCTGGAGTCTCACTGGGTGTCGTGTTGTTATTCTCAATCCTGGTCATCGTTGGACTGGTTATTCGGCAGAAGAAATCGAATCGTCCTGAAGTTGGACTGGTCCTTCGACAGAAGAAAGCGAATCGTCCTGAAGGTGGGGATAGGCTAGCTTTCAGTCTGGATGGGATGGACTTGGGGTTCAGCCTAGAGTTTAGCTTCGAACATCTCTGCATAGCCACCGATCAATTCAGGGAGGAAGCCAAGCTCGGTCAAGGAGCATTCGGTGCTGTTTACCGCGGACAATTGCCCGATACGGGACAGCTCGTGGCCGTGAAGAGATTGAATTCGGTCTCAAATGAGGGTCTCAAGGGGTTTATGGCCGAGGTGTCGATTATCAGCCAGATCCGCCACCGGAACATCGTCAAGCTGCTGGGATGGTGTAACGACCGGGGAAACCTCCTGTTGGTGTACGAGCTCATGCCCAACGGAAGCTTGGACAAGGCTCTTTTCCACCCGGCGAATCCAGAATCAGTTTTGCCGTGGAAGCTCAGGTTCAAAATCATCTCCGGTTCTGCAGACGCTCTATATTACCTGCACGAGGGCTGGCGGCAGCAGGTGATTCATCGGGACTTCAAGTCCAGCAATATCATGCTGGATCAGGACTTCAACGCCATGTTGGGGGACTTTGGATTGGCTCGGATGGCGGATCATTCTCAGTCTCCTGCCACCACTCAGACTGCCGGGACCTTCGGTTACATAGCCCCTGAGGTAGCAGGCTCGGGGAAATTCACCGACAAGGCGGATGTTTACGCCTTCGGGGCCGTGGCTTTGGTTATCGCTTGTGGAAGACCAGCCTTCCTTTTTAAGGCGCCGGTCGAGCAGATTTTCCTTGTCGATTGGGTCTGGGAGAAGCTGGATCAGGAGAGCCTGTTTGATGTCGTAGATCCGAGACTGGGCGAGGAGTTCGATGCAAAAGAGATGAAATTGCTTCTTCTCTTGGGCCTCTTGTGCTCTCACCCGAACGCCGGCAGTCGGCCGACGATGAGAGAGGTGGTCGAGATCTTGGGGGGTAGGGTGGCACTGCCTCTGGTTCCTTCGTCGAAACCGCAACCTCATTACTTGTCTTCTGTTGCTACGGATCAACACCAGAGTATATGATGTCCTGATGTCCACAGCACGAGTCCAGGTTCATGAGTAAGCCCTTTAGGAGATCCTGTAAACGCAATGCTGAAGTGAAAAGGATGACGAGACCACATCAAGTCCCACACTCGAGGTGTGGGACTTGATGAGGGTAAGAAACCATGAGAAACCACGAGTAAGAATGTGTGCTAGCCCGAATAGCGTCTCGATGGGCTCCACCGAAAATGTATAACAATAGGGGTCATAGAAAGAAGCACCCTTTACATGCTCCGTAAATTCTCTACACAAACTTTTAGGATAACAAAGGTGTGGAAGGGTACTCTACTAGCCAAAAAACATTCGGTGGTTTTGTATTCAATCTCCAATTAATTAGAAGGCATTAGAATGTACACTACACGAATCACAAAGGCAAAAATAGTTAAGAGTAATATTTTTAATACGTGACACCAAGATCCAATAGATAAGAGGAGTCATCGTGATTTTTCAAAAGAATTGCCAAAGGAGATTTATAAAATCATGGGCAACGATGTACAAGATTCAATAGAAGGAGATTCAAAAGCACCTGTATCAAAAAAAAGTTCTCTTCATAAATAAATATCTAGAAATAAATGAATAGAATCAGAAAGATACGTCAAATTGATGTGAATAGATCGGGAGCTATAAAAGCCAACGACATTCAAGTTCTTCTAGTTAGACTCGACTGCATTCTAATAAATTGACCCAGCAAGTATACTACGAACTTCAGTAAATTTAGAGTTGCACTAGGACTCGGAATGTATAACCGCTAGATTCACAGTTATCATAAGAAGATGCAAACATTCATTAATAATATTAAGTATGAATGAGCAAAAGATGGTATGAGTTGCATCCGTTCGATGATTGTGTGTTCATTGATCGTTTCTCTCCTTTGAACTCATATAACTTATATTTGTACGTTTTCTAGATTAAAAAATAAATTTATTTCCAAACTGATTTCCCAATTTTAACTCTAAATGCATATTTGACTTTAGATTCTCTCGAGGAAGAATTTGCTACCACAATCAATTTCTTGTGTAATGGAAACCAGTTGGACCAATGGCACTTGCTTTGAATCCCGAGGAGTACATTCCTCTCTATAGGACGTTTTTAGTATAGTTCAGTCAACAAGATCTTCAGTCCTGCAAAATTGGTAATTTTTCATGCAGCACGTTGTAGACGATGAGTCTGGGTATGATCGAGAATCAAGAATTACATCGAGCTAATAAGACCTACCGTCTTCCACATGCACAGTCCTTCTCGATAAGGCGCGTGATCTGAAGCTAAAAGCTTGTGTTGAATGAAGTGCGAAGAATGTTGGACATATTTATAGTCTGTACATCCTCATGATACATCTCCAGCCGTTTTGTTCGTTCAAATTGCAAAGATCGGATTTATTCTTTCCGATCCTTTCAACCTGCGTAAGAGCCAACTCTCTGTCTGAACTTGAAGCATCACGTGAGCAGCTAAGATTGTTCTGACATTCTTCCGATACAGCAAGATCGACACTGGCGGCCGGCACAAAAACGCAGGAGTTTACAATGATTGCAGAAATCAACACGAGCATGATGATGTTCTCATCTATGCCAGTGGTTGTTCAAGCACTGCACCAACTATGGCTTCTCTGAGATTATATTCGAGATATGAAAATATAACGGCTGTGTATGTGACCAAAAGTGACTTGATCGAGAATCTGCTCTGTTAGCATTCATCGCGACCATTCGCCTTTACAGTCACAGCCAACACTGTACATGATCCACAAATAGCTTCTTCCTCATCACTTCAATTTGGCGAGAAAAAATATCATTGAAATTTGTCAAAAGAAGATCATCGTGACATTTACACGGACGGTGAGATATTCGGATTGACGAATCCTGTGCCGGCTGAGGAGTTTTGAAAGCGAGAAGTGCATATTCAAGCATGTGCGTTGGATTTCGTGATATTTGTTTACAATCTAGTCTGGTAACTGGTGTTTCCAAAATCTGGGATCGCATGCCGCAGGAATTCTAGCATTGTTGGACCATTTTCATCCTCGATCAACAAGCTTCTATATTCCCACCACACACAAGGATCTAACTGTGAGCCAAAACTCCCCACCCTTCAGCGTTTGTAATCCAGGTTAGGGTTCGAGCTCCCATAATTCAACTTCTCTTATCTCAAGCCATGTGCTCAAAGTGTATTCAAGACAATGAGATCATAAATACTCGCTTTTTCACAGACAAATTGTCCAGAACGGACACTAACAACTTGTTGTCTGCTATTTTTGCAAGAGCAGCAAACAAGCTCTTCGTAACATAAAGATCTAACCCACCTCTGGGTGACTTCCTCAATACTACAGCCGATGTGGGCCTCTCCTAGAATGAGTACCACATCTCGGACACACTGCCTCGGACTAAGTCAGGTGACACACCAGCAGCCCAAGGTAACACCCTTCCTAACAGCAATCTTCACAGCCAGGGAACACGATTCTACTTTCAACACTTTGCTCGATTCTTCCTCTTACTGATCAACTCACTCTCAGCTCAGCGATCCTCTCGGCCCTCGCACACACTCTCCCGCTCAGCCCTCCGGCGACACTCTCAGCAACTCCACGCTTTCAATGCCCTCGCTCTCAAGGATTCCCCCCTCCTATCAGATTCCACCCACAATTTTGAGTATCAGATTTCAATCTCAAACTCTAAGTTCCCACCTTCAATTTCAGTCCCACTCCCAATTCCTACTCAGAATTCAGTGTCCATTTCTCAGCTTCCTCCTTCACACCCCACCAGATTTCTCTCTCAGATTTAACGTTCCATTTCAGTTTCAAATTCAGATACTGACTGTCAAATTTTCGTCTCGGATTTCACTTCAATTTCAGCTCCCACTCTTAGATCCTTCACTTTGATTTCAGCTCCCACTCTCAGATCCTTCACTTTGATTTCAGCTCCCACTCAGAGATTTGACACTTCGATCTCAGACCCCGATTGAATTTCACTCAGATCCGACTCTCCATCCTCGAGAAGTCGCTCCCTCCTCCTTCGAATTCTTAACACTCCTCTCCTTATTCTCACCACGTTTCTGCGAATATGACTCACATGCACACTCTATCCCTGCGACCGATCCCACCTGCATCCACACACACAGGCACCCCAGATCTCTGTTCCCAGGCCGAATAATTCTCTCCAAAAGTTCCAGGGCCGAGGCGCCCACAGGCCATTTTAATTGTCGTTCCCGCAATGATGGTTAACGGCCTGCTTCCCAGGCTTGACTTCACGCCGCCGCCGCTGCCACACTTGTACATTCCACATTCATGACCACGCCAACTTCGGCCGTCGGAAATCTTCTTTTGCGCACAGCCGAAGGCATCCTATTGCCGAAGGCTCTTGCGCCAAAGGCACCCTACCGCCGAAGACACTCTTCCGTACCTTTGCCTATCTAAAACAGTCAATTCCGACACTTATAACTCACTGATCCCTGATTTGTTTCAAGAGTTCTTGGGCTTGTTGGAACGAGCGTCACAAGCTCTTTCCAACAAGACCCTATCTAAGTCAAACCGTTAAGAATTGAAAAAGATATCACGGTTTTATCCTTTCGCCGAAAGCTCTCCCGAAGGCCTGTTAACGCCGAAGGTGTCTATCACCGAAGATCCCGCATATCAATAACTTCCGACACTCCTAACTCAGTGATGCCTTATTCGTTTCAAGAGTTCTTGATCTCGTTGGAATGAACGTGTTGAGCTCTTTCCAACAAATTCATAATTGACTCAAGAAATTACAAATTAAAAACGTTATGAGGTTTTTACTCTTCCGCCAAAGGCCTTGCCCCGAAGGCCCCCTTCCGCCGAAGGACTGCTACCGCCGAAGACCCTTTTCCGCATCTTTGCCTACTAGCCATCACACCAACTCCTAATCTTGCCAAAACTTTGAAAAACTCCAAGCATAATTTTGACAGAGCTTAAATCCACAATTTTAACTCTCATAAGGTTAAAAAGACATGCGAGCACATTTTTGTGCTCACATCATTGGCGACCATCAGGGGAAGATTCCAGAGTCTCAAGCTCCGCAAGCTTGACACCCTCAAATCCGGTACTGCTTGCATCTACTTTCCGCGGTGCGTGTGGGAAAGACTTCTCCATTCAAGGTTTCTAACTGCATTGAGTTGTTTGAAAATACCTCACGAATCAGATAAGGCCCTAACCATACTACATCAAACTTTCCTAGGAACTCAAGCTTCCTACCATCTTGGAGCATCACCATCATACCTGGCCTCAGCGTCCTTTTCTTATGCTTCTTATCAAAGGTGATTTTTCTCCTCCGTTGAATGGCCTCAATATGTTGAGCGCTCATTCATCTCCTCTCATCAAGCTCTTCTAATGTCGTTAGCCTATTCCTTAATGACTGACTGTTTGTAAGCCGTGACTGCACTGCAACTCGGAGTGATTCCACCTCGAATTTGATGGGAAGAGTGGTCTCCAATCCATACACTAACGAAAACGGCGTTGCCTGGATCGTTACCTTAAAAGTTGTCTGTAGGGATTTCAATCCCCATAACCTACAGAAAATCACAGTCCACACACCATAGAAACACAAGCATTTGTTGACGAGGTTCAGCTTGAAAGCCTACTCCCCGCGAACTCCTCAATGAAGGCAATTTGAATATATATATCCAAGATCAGTTTCTTCAGACTTGACCTTCCTATCTGCCATTACAAGGTTTCAGTCTACTGAGAACTACACACGAGAAATCACTACTGTCTCCCGAGCAAGACTAACACTTCCTCATAGTTGATTCCCTCCCGTAGGTGTCTTCCCGTTCTCACTTTCGACTATTCTTGAAAACCTTATCTCTGTAATGCCACCCGCTCTAGTTCACTGACTGGCCTTATATCATCCCGACTTCTAACGGTAATTTAAACGGTAAAGATCAGAATGAATCAAAACCGTAAACTCCTACACAGCCCATAGGATATAGACCCATCTGCGAGCTAATACTAAACGACAAATAATCTAAAAAGAAAAAGACAAACAACTGAAGCTGATATCTCACAATCTCCACCTCAGTCTTCAGTTTTGATCTTGGTCACCTATACTCGAGCTTGGTCCTC